TCTGCTGGTTGTGTTTCAGCTGGTTGTGTTTCTGCTGGTTGTGTTTCAGCCGGTTGTGTTTCTGCTGGTTGTGTTTCTGCTAGTTGTGTTTCAGCTGGTTGTGTTTCAGCCGATTGTGTTTCTGCTGGTTGTGTTTCAGCCGGTTGGATCTTTGGATTCGTGGCGGTGTTTCTGGTGAACGTTGCTCTGACCGCCAGCGCCATCAGAGCCGTCTTCATCTTCTTCATCCGCCCCCAGCCGCAGGTCAAAGGTCAGCGACCTGTTAAAGCCCGTTTCTGGGTTTAGACACGGCCTTTTTAGACTTAGACTTCCTTTATTGTCATTGCACAAAACACGAGGTGAATTTGACAATGAAATGTCAATTTCTTGGCTACCAGAGTAATATTTTTTAGCAACGAAACGTCAATAAATATGTGTGTGTGTATGGGGGGGGGTTATGTGGCGTTAAGTAGTCTGATGGCCAGGGGGAAGAAACTATTTAGTAGTCTGGTCGTTCTGCAGAAGATACTGCGGAACATTCTGCCGGACGCCGGGGGGGAGAACAGGCCATGGTTGGGTTGGGTGGGATTTTCTTGTTTGTGTTCTGGACTTTTGCTGTTCAGGTCTCCAGTTTTTGTCAAACCGAGTGTTTGTTTTTGTGTACTTGACGCCTGAGTGTTTGTTAAACATGTTTTTGCTGTGAAAAAGTCTTTTTAAAGTTCAGGATCTGAGCTTTCCTGTCATATATTTCACTGCTGTGGAAAACTGGATCATTATGAATAAATCTATGAGCTGAAATCCTGAAGAAAACCTGGTTTCTGTCTCCTCCGGCCCTCGGCTCAGAAAAAACTTCACACATCTCACAAAGAACTGAGAAATAACTCCAGAGGTTTTAAAGGGCTGCTCTGTGATAACGTTTATTCTGAAACCAGAAGCTTCACTTTAAGGTTCGGACGTTTGTGAAAAGCCGCCTGTGTGTACTTCAAATAAACAGAAAAACACGCAAAAGTGCTGAAAAACTGCTGTAAAGTTAATAAAGGGCTCCATGTTTACTTTCAGTGTGTTTTGTTTGAAATTTAACAGAAAAAACTTCACGCTTTCCCAAAAAAACAGATAAATAACTCATGAAAACTTTCAGAAAAATGTGTCACTTTGGGTTTAAAATGAATC